GGTAATGGTCATCCCTGTGGGGCCAACTTGTGAAAAATACGCACTTCAGGTAAAATCAGAGATAGAAAAGTACATAATAATCTCGGCATGTCATCTGTGAAGGTTATTGACTTGGAATGTTATTTGTGCCTTAAAATATTGCATAACTTATACGTTACTTTAGCAACCCACATTTTCAGTAATTGAGAGTAACGTCTGAGTCACGTCTGTGTAGCTGGATCAGAACTATTTTATTTCTTAACGTTTTTGAGAAATGGGGATTTTAAAACATCTCATACTTATAAGTTATTCTTTTCCACATGGCTCTATTTGGAAGAATACTTGTCTATTGCTGTATAACAGATCACTCCAAAACTCAGCAACCTGAGACCACAAGCATTTATTATGTCACAGTTTCTGCGAGTCAGAATCTGGGAGCAGCGAGGCTGGGCGCTGCTGGCTCAGGGCCCCTCAAAAGCCTCTGGTTGCGCTGCCGGCCACGGCTGCCTTCTGCGGGCTCACTCACTTCGTTGTTGGAGGCCTCAGTTCTGCACCCCGTGCACTTTTTCAGAGGTTCCCTGAATATCCCTCCCAACGTGGCAGCTGGTTTCCCCAGAGGGAGTGATGTTAAAGACGTGGAAGCTGTAGTCTTCTAGCTTCATCTCAGAAGTGACTTGCCATCACTTCTGCCCTCCTCTGTGGTCACCTAGAGCCACCTGGTACGATGTGGTGGTGACGACACAAGGTGTGAATACCCTGTGGGTCATCTCAGAGGCTGGCTACCATAAATATCGTCATAATGAAAGTGTTTTGTTTTCTTGTAGGTGTCCAGTACATTTTTTGAAGAAGGGTTCATGGCCGATGTTGACTTAGATCATAGCTGTACACTAAATAAGAAAATACGAAATGCGCAGCTGGCTCAGTATAATTTTATTTTGGGTAACTTAAGTTTATATTTTCTCAAATGCTTGTTTTTTTTTTTTTTCACTTTAATTCCAAAAACTGGTCTATCTGAATATCTGAAATATAGTACAAACTACATGAGTATGGTATAACTATGTGAGTGGTGAATGGTGTAACTACATGAATATGGTATAGCTGTGTGATTATGACAGTTTATTACCTGTACACAAAGAACAGTCCATGGTGTTCCTGGTTAGTTGTTCTTAAATACTCTTTGTTATTTGCTAGAAGAAGAGTTATAAAACCTCACGTGAATCCTGTGGGATAGTATCACTAGCAGTATTCAATATCTCAAACCAACAAGGAAAAAAATGTGAAAATGATTTCATCGGTAGAATTATGCTCTTTATGTTTCAGTCATGTGACAGGCCTCAAATATTCTCCCTTGCTTTTCTGATTTATTATTAATCTTCGGGATTAAATTAATCAGTGGGAAAGATGCCAACTTTAAGGTGATCAAAAGAAAAGAATTTAAGTGAAAAAGTGTCCTTAAGACATATGAGTACTTGGATGCAGTATCTAAAATTTTGACTTTAAAATGATTCAGAAATCAAGAGAAGCTGATCCTGGATGCCTCCAGGCATGATATTGTTATCTCCAGTAAGTTGAATGATTCTGTAGGAGGTAAAATAAATATGCATAGGGTTGTCCTATCCACAATTTGTCATTGAAAGTATTTGAATGTGTAGTAGATATTGTGATGTTTCAATCAGGCTCCTTCTGGTGACAGAACTCTCACGTTGACTTAAAGATGGAATTTATTGGAAGGGTAATGGAGTATCTCCTGACACAGAAGGTAGAATTAAATTAGAAGAGTATTAGAAGAGTAACTGGAGCAAGCTGCTCAACCCTTATCAGGACTGTTTCTCCTCATTTCTAGCTCCTACTTTGCTCTGGTTCTTTGTGCTTCTCTTGAATATCTACTTTATTCCCGTTACCTGGTGACCAATTTCTTCCTTCCACATGGCAAGAAACAAGCCTGCAGATTGCTGCATCATCCCACATAAGGGGCACTAGAGAGAAACTTTCTACCTACATTCCAGAAAATTTTGATTGGTTGGGCATGGGTCTGGTGCCTACCCATATTGCCATATGGAGTCAGGGGTCTCTCATACCCATATGCCATATGCCATATGGAGTCAGGGAGATCTTTCTCCCTGCTCCGGTTTGTGCCCCGAGACTACAATATGTGTTTGTGCAAGTGGACAGTAAGGAAGAGGGGATTAGAAGTCATTCCTTCTCTCAAGAAACTTACTATCAGAGGATGACTTCATGGCCATTAGATTGATAATAAGTGATTAATACTGAAGAAGAACTCAATAACACATGTGTCATATGACTATTGACTTAATATTTAGTAAATCACTTATTTAAGATATGTTTATTACCCTTTCTTTTCCACAGTGGTTGGAGAAAAGGAAAAGACAAATAATGCTGTAAATGTTCGAACAAGAGACAACAAAATTCATGGAGAGATTTCTGTAACTTCTGCCATTGATAAGTTGAAGAATCTCAAGAAATCACGTACACTGAATGCTGAGGAAGACTTTTGAAGTTCTTTCTTGTACTTGCTTCTATGTAGCCTTGTTTTGACCCCTAAAAATGCATTTTGACCCCTAAAAATGCAACTAGTACTTCTAAGAACTTTTGACTCACTGATGGGCACAGTGAGAAAGGAGACAATGAGTAGCTGATATAAAAAGTTTAGTTCATTAATGTGTCTGAAGAGAATACGAGGACAAGCTTGGGAGATTTTTAATTTCCCAAATGCCTTGAAAGACTTAAGTGGGAAATGTTATTTATTGAAAGAGGGAAGTACTAGGATATGAAGATTTGGAGAGGTTATTGCTGAGATTGTGGTTTTCAAAAGATAGACTTCAAATTAAAACCTGCAAAGCTTTTTTAAATATAAGAGAAAAATCTTATTTTCTAGGACAATACATCTCAGGTATTTTTATGATTGTTCTACTAAAGTTCACACTGAAATGTTATCTCCAAAATTGGAATCGTCGCTTAATTTGTTTTAATTAACCAACAGCCACAAAAGAAGCGACTAGTACTAAATACTGGATTATTGACAAAGGACTCAGAACCTCAGATTCCGTATTGTGGAATCTACTGTTGTTTGCGGTGTAGGTTAAGAGTTGCTGTTTTAATGCTTCTAATTGACAACTGTTCATCTGTAGAAAAAATAAATTCCTAAATAAAAGACAACACACAGTGTTTCCAGTATTTCAGCTATGGGCTTATACCATAGTAAGCTGCTCCCCTAGAGTTAAATTACTTTTTTCATGAGATGACATTCTACTGATTTACAGACTCTTTTAACCTTAAAAATAAAACTGTCCGTTATTTTACCAGCAAAAATGGATTCATTTGGGAATAGCAGATAATTTTAATTTGACACATGTAAGCTATCACAAAACCATAGACAAGTCTGGAGAACAAAGGAGAGGGGGCTGCTTTTTTATAAAGGGGGCAGGAGGGAGTTTGGAAGGGCTGTTATAAACAAAAAGTCCACTGGAGTAAACTGGGAGTTGAAGTGTAGTGGCTTTTCATTGGCTGGGTTGTGACAGTTTCTTGTTGGCTGGACCGTCCCCAGGCAAAGAGAAAATCTTTCTTCTTTTTGCTGGGGTAATAGAGTATAGGTTCTTCCTGTTGGGAATGCAAGGTGCGTCTCTTGGAGTACAATTCTGTAGTCCATTAGGAGTGGTAGGGCATGAGAGCTCCCCCTTCTGGCCTCCTGGCTCCATCTTAAATGAGGTTTCCTTTATTCAGTTTCACAATTCAAATGGATTTCTGATTTTAACTGAGAGGAATGCCTTACTGCTCAGAACCGAGTTGAAATAGCTTTACGCCAGTAGAGAATTTAGCTTCCAGTCAAGAAGTATTTATTGGGTGTTATTTGGCTAGATACTGTGGAATTCAAAATAAATTTAAGACATGCTCTCTTTTCTCAACACCTTTATTATTTAGCATCCTGAACAGTTAGTAAACAAAACTGTATTATACATCAGACCTGAATAGTACTAAGAGGTGCAAATTGTGTGATGTAATTTTTAAGGTAATATTTATTGGGGCCTTATTGTGTGCCAGACACCAGTCGGTATATTCTTTTCATTCATCAAAACTGCTAGTGAAGGAGTGGGGAGTCAGAAGGCCCCCAAAAGAATCTTGTGGCAGGTGGGTGGGAAGGAGGAACGCAAGTCAACAACACAGGAGAAAGTATGCTGTGACAAAAATAGGTGCAGTCTGCCATCTGAGCACACAGGGAGCCGGAGGCCCCGGGGTGCAGCTCCCCTCCCCAAGGCTGGCCTTCTCCAGGGAGGGGCCCATGCTTTGGACCCCCTTTCACATCCCAGGATTCTTGTCCCAGTACTTCCGGACCTGAATACTTGCCAGGTATATTTACTGCCCTCTCCCAATCTCAAAGGAACTTTCTGGAAGTGTCTTTTTTTAAAGAGTTGGCTAGAGGTGAACCCAAAGCTGACCACAGAGAGAGATGCTAGCTGGGCACTGATCAGGTCAGCAACGCAGGAAAGGGTGGCGTCCTTTGGGGCTGCCTGTCACACCTTGGCGTGGGGTGTCACTTCCCCTACTGGATGTGTGCCACAGTTTCTTCATTTGCAAATAAGTACCTTTTCGGTATGCAATCAAATACGTCATCAACACCTTCGCAGAGTACCGAGCAGTTTTTAACCTCTAAACATACATATCCATCCACATAGAGATGATGGCCAACTTCCCCAATCTGCCCGCCTCTGATTGCAGCCACTTCAGGTGTGAATTTCGGTCCCGGTGACCCTTCCCAGTCGCTAGCCATGGAAGGAGAAGTGAGCGCCTCGTCCGTGGGGAACTCTCGGCAACCAAACAACCTCACAGGGTCGCGGCCACCCCACGTCTACCCCAGCTGCGGGGAGGGCGGCTCGCGAGGCTCTGGAGAACCCACGCGGAGCCGGCCGCGCGCCTGCGCCCTGGGCTCCCCGGGGACGCGCCTGCACACGCCCCTACGGCGCGCGCCGGGGCCCCGCCCCTTTGCCTAGTCCCGCCTCGCGGCCCGGATGTGCGCGCGCCGACGACATGGCGGCTGCGGCGGTCACGCTGCAGGCCCTGTGCCGCTTCTGCCGGGTGCTGCTCTTCCTCTTCCAGTTCTACATCTTGTCCGGCGGGGGTGAGTTAAAGGCCAGAGTCCACGCGGGGTCGGGCTGAGCGGTAGCGAGGCCCCCGGGAGCTGCGGGAAGCGTCCGCGCTAGGCCCGCGGGCGGAGGGCGGAGGCTGAGTGCCGGGCGCGGGGCAGCAGGTCGCTGCAGCCGGGTCTGGGGGGTCCTGACCGCCCGCTCCGCGGCCGCCGCTCCGCTCAAGAACCCCAGAGCCTCGGAGCTCGGCTGATGAGCCCTGGAGCGGGGGACCGAGGGTTGGGGTCTCGGCCGGGGAAGCGGACCTGGAACCCGAGACCACGCTTTGTTCCCTAGTTGCCTATCGATCCACATTGGTGTGGACCCCATTGGCGTTTCTTTGTTTAGTTTTCTGGGCAGTCAAGCTGTGAGGTTTTCATGAGCATTTATTGGCCTGGTGTGGACCTTGCGTCTTAACCACACAAACCAAGGTTTTCATATCCCAGGATAACATGTTTCTCTAATTGTAGGATCCTTAAATTTAGAGCAGTCGCAGCCGCTGGCTCAGTCAATAAAGGATCCGGGCCCAACACGTACTTTCACAGTAGTTCCCAGGGCAGCAGGTACTAGACATTTTCTATTCTAGTAAATGTGTATATTTATATCTAGTGGTTTCTTTCTTCTTAGATAAAATAACTTTACAATTTTTTTTGAAATTTTTATTGTATTTTAGGTTATGTGAACTAAAGACAGATACACAGATGTTTTTCTGTACACTGTCTTGATATTGCAGTACCAGTTCCAGCCTCATCTCTTTTTCCAGTTCCACATTCCTCATTTCTATCTCTATTATTTTTCCGCCTCGTTCATCAAGATCACCTTCAACCAGTGCTTCTTTCCCTTCAGAAATTTTCTTTTTCTTCTTAAGCCCCATTCCTGATGTTGGACATTAGAGGCTCCTCCCAGGGCTGTGTGAAATGGAAGGATCACAGACAGATTAAGACTTGGACACTAGGTCTGGTTGAGCTACTGGGAGCTTGAGCAAATTATTCACCCTTTCAGCATCACTTTACTCATCTTTTAGGTGGTGAAGTTCACCTGGCCCTCTAAAGTCATTTTGGCTTTGTGATTTCTAAGTGTCCAACTTGTAGCCACAAGAGTAATCAGAATAAAAGAAAAGAAAAGTAGAATTGACTACGTAATCCAGGGACTTTAAGTAGGATCAGTTTTAAATGAGTCTTAGTGTGTTTTGCTAAACAGAACCTTTGTCTCTATAGTTCATCTCTTTAAAGTTCCATTATTTCAATGAATTGAAACTGGCAGAGGTATTTTACTGATTGTTATTTGGATGTTAAGACTACTACAAGACAGGAGCATACTTGAATTTAAAACACAAATTATAGAGAAAGCACAAGAATTTTTTTATTCCTTTGGATGTTTTTGAAAGCGTCTCTTCCTCCCCCAAGTATACTTGCAAATGATCCTCTCTTAATTGATAAAAATATATTGTACTCCTGGGAAGGTTGGCTGGGAAAAAAGTTATAACCCACCAAACAAGTTATTAATATGGAGAACTCTGTTGAACTTTGGTAGTTTAAAACTGTAAGTGGTACTAGCAAATTATGGCTTTTTGAAGTACCAGTGTGGAATAATGACAGAGAACATTTTCTAAAGTTGGTGCCCTATTGTACTGATTGATTCAGTTGGAGGGTGAGTGTCGTAATTACCAAATCAGTGAATTCAGATGAAAATAATATTGGATTAGAAACAGAGATTTGGGTCGTGGTTCTAGTTTTGTCACTCTGTGATCATGAACAAATCTTACCCTCTCCAAGTCTTAATTTTTCATCTTGTTACAGAGTAGATTTTTTTGAGGCCCAAACTTACACCTAGCTTTGTGTATACATTGTATGTACATAAGTACCTTTGATTTTCATGCTCATTTGGGGGGCAGTAATTAAATTCTTTTTACTTAGCTGTTGAACTCTTGGACCAGGTCACACAGCTTGGTGGCAGAACCTTGCTTTAAGTGCAGGTGTCTCTGATTCCAGCCCTGTCATTTTCCATTCCGGTGCAGCATTTCATCGCTGGCAGTCGTGTCCCTTACCCCTCAGGAAATTGTTTTCTTCTGTGATGCTGATCAGTATTATATGAGAATAAGCATCTCTCTTATTTTTCACAGAAAGTACTGATATCCCACCTTATGTGATGAAGTGTCCAAGTAATGGTTTGTGTAGCAGACTCCCTGCAGACTGTGTAGAATGCAAGACAAATTTCTCCTGTGTCTATGGCAAGCCTGTCACCTTTGACTGCACAGTCAAACCTTCCGTCACCTGTGTTGTAAGTACTGCAGCTTACTAATTTTAAATGAACTCACTGTAAACCTCAAGTTCTAAGTACAGTTTAGACTTGACTGTGGGGGAAATCCTGAAAGAAAGTGCTCTGCATTCCGCAAGTCGTATTTTAGGAACAAAGACAATATGATCAGAAGACTGAAACTTTCCTTTCCAAGTGAGGTTTGGTTGCCAGGGTTCAGATGGCAATTTCTTGACAAATGAAATTGGAGCAACTATCAGACTCCTTACAGAAAGTCAGAAATAGAAAAGGCTCATGTGCACTGTTGACTATTAGAAAAGACCCTATTAGAGTCATCACACCTCTATCCCATCTCCTGATATTTTGACAGACAGGAAGAGGCCTAGGAAGGCTTTCATAGTTGGGTGTTCCATAGAGTGCTCTAGGGATACCTGCTTCCAAGCTGCTTGACTCTGGCTGCCGTTAGAATCACTTCTGGAGCCAGCCCCTGGCCTGCTAAACGCGAACAGGGCAGGGAGACTCAGGTATCTGCATTTTTTAACAACTGGACCAGGTTAAAATTATTACACACTCCCTTGTTTGGGGCTACTCTCTGGGTGAGAGGAAGAGTAGAAACGAATAATGCATTTTTTAACAACTGGACCAGGTTAAAATTATTACACACTCCCTTGTTTGGGGCTACTCTCTGGGTGAGAGGAAGAGTAGAAACGAATAATGAAGTAGTGTTTTACTCTTGGCCCTGCCATAACTAGCTGGGTGACTTACTAATCTGTCTCTTGTCAAATGAGGGAAATGAGCACATGGGCCCAGAACAGCTTTTTCTAAAGTGCTTCCGTGGAACCCTACTTTTGGGAAATGGTTGAAGGGGAAGAAACAGATTCTATACCGTGTCCTCTCTTGCAGATCGCTTTTGATTTGGCAGTCCTAGCATTTCTGTCACTTGAACAGGGTACCTTCCCCCTTCAGTCTTTGGAACTTGGTCTGTGGAGGGCTAGACTGGAAAGTTTCTTACACCCTTGCACTCTTTCTGTAATTTTCCTGATGAAGTCTAGTATCAGAGAGGGAGCAAGGAAGGCTTCTCTTCAAAGAGGAAGTAAGATTTTGTGCTGTCAGTGTCTCAATTTAGTTTTCATAAAACTTAAGTATTGCCGTTTTATATCCTGTATCAGCACACCGGAAAATTGAGCATAGGTGCCAGATGGTGTTCGTGACTGCCCTTGAATTATTAGTCTTTGTTGCTGCATCTTAAATACAGTGTTCTCCCTAATTACCTAATGGGGAAACTTACTAATTTGAAGGCTTTTAAAAATGTTCTCCCCACCTGAAACTAACATAACATTGGGTATCAGCTGTACTCCAACGTAAAAATAAAAAATGTTATCTCATAGGTCTGACAGAGAGTAGGTACTTCGTGAAAAATGGGAGAACTCTGACCTCCAGGGGAACTCTTCCAGAATTAGCCTCCTTTGTGGTTTGCCTCAGTGGCTTTGATGTTCACTCCCAGCACTGGTTACTGGGTGAGACAGGATTCTCAGTTTCTTCCTTCTTTAGATGTTTCCAAAATAAACTGTTTCATTTAGTAGGAAATAGCAGAAGATAGGAAAAATAACAAAGGTAGAGAGAAGTTACAAAGCTTAAGGGAAGTTTCTGGACTCCTCGGTCATGGTGCCTGGTGCCGTGCTCAGTCCCTGGCTGAGATGTGTCCTGGGCGGAACTTTTTTCTCTCCTCCTCCTCCAGGAGCTTTCACATCACCTGCCTCCTCTCCTGGCCAGTGGCCCTGAGTCCTGTCAAATCACAGGTGCCCCGTCCTCAGGTGTAGGACTTGGAAGTGTGCCCCAAGAGAGTGTGGTCTGTTCTTGAAAGTGGAGAGCAGTAAAAACATGAATGGACTGCCTGCAGACATGGGTCCTGGGACCGCTGTTGCCTGGTGAGCCAGGGCAAGTCGCGTGTGTTTGTTTTACAAAGATCTGTAGGGTCCCTTCTTGGTAAATAAGTTACCATCCACCACCGTCCCCGTGTAAGCGATGCTTATTTTCTCTCATCTGCACGTGCATGCACTCAGGTGCCTCCCTGCCCCCTCTTATTTTGAACTTACTGGCCAAAAAATGAACTCCTCTAGTCCTTCTCCAGACATGCTGAATTAAGAACTACCAGGCTAAGGGAATCTCACCTGGATTCTTTTATAGAAATAAATGTAAAGACCCTGCGTCCCCTGCCATGTCCTATCACTCCTTCAGTTGATGTCCGCTGGAAGTGTGCTTGTCAGAAATGTTTTGCGTTCCTTGGAGAAGCTGTCAGACTGCTAGTGTCTCTGAAGCAGGTGTAATTTCTTCCAGTGAGTTCTGGGTTCTTAGTAATGACAGCTGTTTCACAGAGGGAAAGGTAACATCTTTTTACTATATATAAGCTTTTGAGGGAGTCTATACCTCTCCGGAGAGAAGATGGATTCAGTCAGTGCTGGGGTGCCCGGGTCGCTCTGGGGAGAAAAGTGGAATCCCTCTCTTGTCCCAAATAAATTCGGAGATATCAGAAATTGAATGTAATAAAATGAAGCCACAAAGTAAGCAGAGAAAGCTTGATTGTTATGCTATAATCTCAAAGTAGGAAATATTTTTCTAAATATGAAATAAAACTTAGAAGCCGTAAAAGAATTGATAGATTCAACTGCTAAAAATGACCTAAAAAAGCATAAAGGCAAAAGATCAGTGGCAAACTAGGAAAAAGTATTTCTCACACCTGTGACAACTAATGCACTAATATCTATAATACGTAAAGATTTCCTAAAAGCCAATGAGAAGAACATGACAGTGCTATAGAAAAATGGTATGAGGACATAAGCAGATGGTTCAAAGGAAAGGAAATACGGATGGGCTTTCAGCATATGAAGAAATGTTTAATTTTTCTCATAATTAAAGAAATGTAAATGGATGTATTTTTAAATCTATCAGGCTGGCAAATAAAAAAGCTTGGTAACACTCTGAGTGCATGAGGACATAAGGGACCCTCTTGTTAGTGGGTGGGCAGATTGGTCAGCCTCTTGTAGGCAATTGTCACATCTGTGAATCTTACAGATGTATATATCTTTTGACCCAGCAATTCCACATCTAGGAATTTATCTTACAGATACTGTACATGGATGCAAATAAGGATATTGCCTAAGGATATTCTTAGCTGCGTTGTTCACCCAGACAGAAGATTTAAAACAAGCTTAATGTCCAGGAGAGAACTGTTTATGATTCACTATGAAATGAAATAAGTAGCAGCTAGTAAAAAGAACTAGGCAGCTCTCAAGATACTTAACTGATAGCTACAGAATTCAGTGAAAAGTGAATATCAGTGGGAAAGCTAAATTTAAAAAAAGAAATATATCTGACATAAACGCGCTGATGCATAGAATAGATTCCCCGGAAGGCCAGAGGCTAAGCAGGGCTTGGTGCTGGGGAGGGCAGTGGCTGCCAATGGCTAGACAGGACCAGCTTCCCCCTTGCTCCTGTCTCGTCTGGGAATCTGTACCACATTCGCGGACTGCGTCGTTTAAAAAACAATTGATAAGTGTGCATTATCAGTGCATCACTGGAGATACACAGATGTTTCAGACACTATTGCCTAAATCAAATGGTGCCTTCCCCAGTTTGGGATGTCATTCATAAACTGCAGTTTTGCATTGATCAAAAAAATTAGTAAATTTATACTTCCAGAGATGATTTAAAATCATTTAAAAATGATTTTGAAAACTATGTATTACATTATAATGTCAAGTGGGGAAAAAAGGATACAAAATGCTTTCAGTATAATTGCACTTACATAAATCTGTATTATAGGAATTAAAAACAAAAGATTAAAAGTAGTTCTCTCTGGAGAGGTTACCGGTTTTTTCCTGTAATTTCCAAAGGGGCAGCACACAGCACGTGCTACTCTTCCAAGAGAAAACAAAATAATGGTTTTTTTAAATTGAAGTGAAAAAAATCTACAGTCTTAAAAGCTTAGCGCCAACAATGAACACTTGGCTGAATCTCAACATGTGGCTCTTTCAAAGTTGAGAGTGATTTTCTGGGGCGACCCGTTGGTTGATTATACTGGGTGGAGGTGTGAGCAGCAGTCACAGCCCGGAGGTCCTGGGCCCCGGTGGAGATACTCGGGAGGATTTGAGACTCGGCAGCCAGTCCATGTGTTGTACTTCTAGGAGCGTCAGACTGGGGTTGGGGACCGTGGGTCCTGCACATAACTTGCAGCTCAGTGACCTTGAACACATGTAGTCATCTGTGCTTCCAGCTCCCTGTGACTCTGTGGCTTGATAAAATACATTTTCCCTTTTCGTATTATAAAAGTACCCATGCTCAATTATGAAAAATTTAGCCAAGTGAAAGTGGTAAAATAATCTTACCATCCTGGAATAACCTTTTGTTATTTTGATGTAAATTTATGTAGGTTTTTTTCCTTAGGCATATATATTTTTGGGTGTATATTTTTATGACGAAAGGCTCATACTGTGTACGTTTATTTTGCGTACGTACTGGTTTGGTACCTATTTTCCTCCCACTTTCTGCTAGTATTATTCACAAGTCTTTTAGGAGTTTTGTGCCTTGTATTTTTATTGACATATTAACAAACTATTATGATTGATTCATTCTCTGTCCTTTGGCATACAGGATCAAGACTTCAAATCCCAAAAGAACTTCATCATCAACATGACTTGCAGGTTTTGCTGGCAGCTTCCAGAAACCGATTATGAGTGTTCCAATTCCACCAGCTGCATGACGGTGTCCTGTCCCAGGCAGCGTTACACTGCCAATTGCACCGTGCGGGACCACATTCATTGCTTGGGTGAGTTGCAGTTCAAGGAAATTCGTGAGCAAAATACTTTTCTTTAAGCTTACATATGGAACTTCAATTAGCAGTTTGAGAATTAAATTTACATTATTTATTTAAAGAGTTTATTTATTTATTGGAGAGAGAGAGAGCGCAAGCAGGGTGAGGGGCAGAGGGAAAAGCGGGCTGCCAGTGTGGGACTTGATCCCAGGACCCCGGGATCACGACCTGAGCCGAAGGCAGACGCCTCACTGACTGAGCCACCCAGGCGTCCCTATTTATTTATTTATTTATTTTTAAGATTTTTATTTATTTGAGAGAAGGGGAGAGTGCGTGGGGAGGGGCAGAGGCAGAAGGAGAAAGAATCTGAAGCTGACTCTACACTGAGCATGGAGCCCGATGCAGGGCTCATTCCCACCACCGTGAGATCACAGCCTGAGCCGAAACCAAGAGTCAGACGCTTAACTGACTGAGCCATACAGGCGCCCTAAATTTAAATTGTTTAATCAGAAACATTTATTAGCACTTTCTAGTTACAGCAAGCCTCATTAATAAACTCAGTGGTGACAGATGGTAGCTACGCTTGTGGCCGGCATAGCATAACATAGTTGTTGAATTACTTCCTGTGTTGTTCACCTGAAACTAATGTAACATTGTGTGTCCACTGAAAGATAAAAAAATAAACTCAGTGAACTAAAAAGAAAAAAAAAAAATAAACCCAGAAAATGTGCAATTCTCTTATCTTTTAAAAATGTAGTATATGATAACACAAGAAACAAGGTGTAAGATATAAAGCATAATGTACAGTAATAACGTTTTACCCAAATTTCCGACTAAAGCAGTCGGATGCCATGACAGCTAGCTGAGTGCTTTTCCTTGCACCTGCTTGCCCTAGCGTCTCTCGACAGCTAACCACCCTTAGATGAGTTTTCTTATCATCCCACTTGCTTTTCTTTACATTTTGTGTCCTTGTATCACATGTAAATAATAAGATAGAGTATGATACATTATTCAGTAGTGCTTGTTTTAGACTTACATAAAATAATAGTCTGTTTATGGTCTTGTCCTTCCTCTTTTCCTCTCAACATTATGGCTCTAAGATGATCCATGTGTCTTATTTACTTATTTTTTTTTTTACTTCTGTATAATAATCCACTGTAAGATTGTATCATAGTTTCTCTGTTCTGTGTATTTGGATTATTTACAGTTTTTTGCCCTTACAGGTTGTGCTGCTATTAGAGTTTTTGCACATACCTCCTGGTTGCACGTGTGCAGGCCTATACCCTCTAGCATGTATTATTTTCCAAAATGCTTTTAACAGTTTACATTCCCACCATTGATACGTAACTGTTCTTGATGCACATGCTCTCCAATACTTATTATTCATAAATGTTGTCTTTTTCTTGAAGATTTCCGGGAATTCTTTTATATTTTGGATAATAACCTTTTGGTGTCCCTAAAACCCTTTCCCAGATTTTAACTACCCCTCCCCCCACTTTTGGGGGTATCTTTTGGATAGAGTTTGACTTTTTTTTAATACAACTCATAGCCCTTTTATTTCCTGTATTTTCTTTTAGAAGTTGGAAGTTTGGCCTTTCACATATAGGTCTGTAATCCACCTGGAATTGGTTTTGGTATATGGTGTGAAGTAGATTCAGGTTTACTTTTTATCCCACATGGATAGCCAGTTGTCTCTGGACTCCTCCAGGCCAATCTGTGTGTGCCCTGCATCCCACAGGAGGTGGTTCTGTGTGCCTGGGCTGGGCTCTCTCTCCTTTCCCCATTGCTTGATTTATCTGTTTGATAAATAAGACCATATTGTCTTATTTGCCCTAAACTTCACCTAAGTCTTGTTAGCTTCACATACTTAGAGCTGTAACCTTACTTAACTGATTTAAACATTAAATGTATGTTTGTAGATGGTAAGGGCTTTCTTTTTACTAGTCACTGTAGCAAACTTTAATTATCGTAGAGAGAGTTGACTTTTAGATTTTAAATGACAAGGCCACTAGTCTCTGTGTAAAAGAATATTTTTATACCCCTGTTTCTATGTAGAGTGTTTTCCCTTTTTTTCAGGTAACCGCACTTTTCCAAAGATGCTATATTGCAACTGGACCGGAGGTTATAAGTGGTCTACTGCTCTGGCCCTGAGGTAAGTTTGGCTACTAGTAAGTAAAGGATGCCATTCGGATTTCGTTGGGATCAGTGGAATCTTCCATACATTGAGCTCAGCTGAGTTCCTCCTTCACTTAGATTCTTTCACATGTGTTAGGGAGGCCCTAGGAAACGTAGCCACAGGGAGTTATTTAGATGATCAGACCAGGACCTTCGTGGACGTTAATGGCAGGATGTTTGCTTTTCTCCCAAGATGTCTGCACATCCTTAGAGATGCCTTACTGAATTGTTATTATAGATCATTAGAACCAGTCAGGGTTTTCCATCCTGAGTGTATGTGAGTCAGTAAAATGGTATACACTATTTAAAATAGATAGGTTTATGATTTGTAGTTTTAATTTTTAGTAACTTCCTCCTTTATTATAAAAACTAACATATACTCCATACTAAAAACTGGAAAAATTGAGATAAAATAAAACATTAAAAATCACCTCTAATTCCACCATCCAGAAATAATTATGGACTTAAAATTTTAACATAAGAATGTTAATGCTTGAATTTGTTAAAACTTTTCAACAGTTTGGGGGAAAAAACTACCAATTCTTACTCCCAGAGGGAAGGGTAGGTGTGATGCTGATTATTCACTAATTAAAAAGTTGGGGCGTCTACAGTTGAAGGTTTGGCGCTAGAGCCCAAGACCCTGTGGCCTGTAGCGTGACATGTCGGGTTTCTCGCCTTCGTCGAGGTTGAAATTCAGGCCAAATAGTTCTTTGCTCTGGGGCCAGCAGGGCGGTTAGCAGCATCTCTGGACTCTACTTACTAGATGCCGGTAGCACTCCACGGTGTGATAATCAAAAATGTCTTTAGAGACAGCCAAGTTGCTCCTTGTTGAGGAGCACTGCTTTAGGGTTTGGGCTGGGGAGGGACAGAGCAGAGCCTGCCTGGCGGGAAGGCCCAACTGGAGAGTAAAAGAATAGTCCAAGGTAGAAAATTCGATACAACAAAAATGAGATTTGATAACTGGCCATCGTCTTTGTCAGCAGTGGTTCAAATGAAAATGAATGACGGACTTTTTTTTTTTTTTTAAATAACCTTTTTATTTTGGAATAACTTGAGACTTACAGAAAAGTTTTGGAGATCGTTCCTGGACACCTGTCACCCACCTCCCCCTTGATTGTTCACATCTTAAGTTACCGTGGTGCATTTTACAACTTGACTTTTAAAAAGTAAGCATCATTTTCTTTTCAGAGCTCAACATAGTTTCTTTCAGAATATTCACTGAGTGGGTTAATGTCTGGGGTTTGCTTCCAAGTACTCCGGCGTGGGGGCGGGGCGGGTACAGATGCCGCAGGACTGGCCACATGCTGATCAGTGGTGGAGCTGGGTCGGGGGTACTGTTGTCTTCAACTTTCTTTTATATGTTTGGAAATGTTCCTTAATCTTAAAAGAAGTACAATGAGAAGTTGTCTGAATATTGTTAGGTCTTGGAATTTGAAGGAACCTTAAGAGTCATTTGTTCTTAACACTCCAATTTTGGAGATGCGTGGCAGAGTTCAGACGACTTGATCTGGGGCAGCCTCGCGACCCCACCTCCTGACTCCGTGTTCGTGTCCTTTCTGTTGGACTGGCTCCCTGCTTTGTTCCCCCGCATGTGCCATTTTCAAGACTAAAAAGCAATGAGATGGATTACTTTTCTTTGAAAGAGGAACCATTAGATTTCAGCACAGCTAAAAATTGTTTGTTTACCTTTGACATTTAAACAGTCTTCTTGCCTGTGATGATTTGGTGTCGTGAATTTGGGAAGTAGGCATTTGTGTCCTCACAAAGGATTGTGGTCGTTTGAGGCCCTTTCACACGTGTGACTTCGTGCCAGTATTGAGCCACAGCTGGCTGTGGATGGAGGGTGGCTGATGGATTTGCACCCCGTAACCCGTTTGCTCTTGCAGCGTCACCCTCGGTGGGTTTGGAGCCGACCGTTTCTACCTGGGCCAGTGGCGGGAAGGCCTTGGCAAGCTCTTCAGCTTCGGCGGCCTGGGGATATGGACGCTGATAGACGTCCTGCTGATTGGCGTTGGCTACGTGGGACCAGCAGATGGCTCTTTGTACATTTAGCTGTGGTTATGTGCTTCAGAGAGGAGCAGTGCTTAGGAGTCTCTTTGCCCGTAGGAATTGATGTGCTGTGAGTAATGTATTTGTATGTTTTTAATGTACAGCATCTGTACTTTGCCTGCCTTGATGAAGGTAAAATTAAAAATAAATAAATAAATAAAATAAAAAATACCAAACCATGTTTATCTGGAATTTGTTTTTATCTGCCTGAACTTTATTTTTTTCTGTGAAAAAATGTAAACTTACTCATCGCTTCTTGGCCTTTTGGCTAAGACCAAGTGTAAAAAATATGAACTTCCTTAAACTAGAACAGAAGCTGCAGTGATTGAAAATCTGCATAATTCCTATGACTTTAGTTTTAGATTAAGTCAGTATGTCACTTGGCTCTCCAGCCTTGGAAAAGATTTTCAGTTATGTTTGCAGGAAGTGGAACGTGTTTTTATTCTTTTTTTTTTTTTTAAGATTTTATTTATTTGACAGAGACAACGAGAGAGGGAACACAAGCAGAGGGAGTGGGAGAGGGAGAAGCAGGCTTCCTGCTGAGCAGGGAGCCCGATGTGGGGCTCGATCCCAGGACCCTGGGATCATGACCTGAGCCGAAGGCAGACGCTTAACGACTGAGCCACCCAGGCGCTCCTATTCTTTAGCTAAATAAAGTTCTCTACCTAACCTTCCCTCTGTACATTTTGCAGTGTACTATCTGAGTAGGCTGGTCTTTATATATGACGCTTGAAGTAAACTGCACAACTTTTGTGTGTAGTTGCTCTGGTTTGAATTTTGTTAGTAACATATTTGCAAGAGTACTGGAAAATTAAACTACAGGTTCCTTTAAGAAGTACGTAGATCTGTTTTCTGTATTAGGATGGAATCGAGTAATCATAACTCTTACTGGGGTAAAATGCTTATTTTTCAGAGCCTTACTCCATTTCAACATATATTCGTAATTGGCTGGTTCATTGACACACAGTGGAAGTGTTAAACAGTGTGTTTCAGTGTGAGAAATGTTTTCAAGTCTTTATAAATCTGTTGTAGGCCCTTTCGTGGAAAGAAAGACCATTATTTCAAATTAAGAGTATCTGAGTATTACTTTTTAAACATCTGTGTTAATAGCTAGAAGGCTTAACCAGCCTATCAGATCCAGAAGCTATAAAATATTTCTCAGCATGTTCCCATAAATCTCATGGAAAGAAAAGGCATCTCTTCTTCACAAGATTATTAATTATAGTTTACCTGTAAACTACAGGGGAATTGAACCACCTTTGTGTAGTAACCTGCCAGTTAAGAAGGCCTGAAGCTCAGAATCTCTTCTGTGGGTGGGATTTCTCGTTCTAGTTGAGTAACAGTTCCAGCCCTGGTCACTAGGTGGTACGTTTCTATTATATTTCTAGAAGCTGCTGAGGTTAACTGGTTCTTTCCTAGGAACATGAGCAGAGGCAGAGGGCAAGGGCAGTGCTTCAGATGGGAGTAGCCTAGTTTGCATGGACCTTTCTTTTCCAGGGCAAACACACGTTCTCATCTGTCATGGGTACACGAGACTCTGGCTTAAGCTGATATTTCTTTAGTAGGCTTCTGTTCCTACAAGGAAACAGCTCCTTTGCTAACTATATAAAAATTTCCCCTGAATCTCCTCCGTAATTAGCTCTACACAGAAGAGACTCGCCAACATTTCCCTGTTGAGCTAGCCCATGAGGAGCCGGGGAAGTGATGGCAATCACCGGCTGCACTCAGTGCCCTTGGAGGAAGTAGGGAGCTCCTGCTTTGCCAGTTGAGCATCTTTATGGCTTCGGGGCCTGAGCTCAGTCATGAAGTTCCAGTGTTTGAAAGGTTCAGAATCCGTGAAAGGAGACGTGTAAATGAAATTGCTCTAATTCCTGAGAAACTTTTAAAAGGGGATAGTCTTGGGGACCTAAAAACTATAAGCAAATCAGGGATGCTTCCTATCCAGGATTTGGTGGAGCTGATAACCTCCGTGACAAGAGAACTAGGAGGAAAAGGAAAAGATTTCCAAATGCAGTTTAAACAAATTTGTGAATGATGAGCTCATACATGGCCCCTTAAAAAAAAAAAAGACCTAATAAAACTAGACTTCCCAAGGGCACCAGAGAGGGTGGGTGTGATCTCTAGAAAATTCCATGGGCCTCTGCTGGCAGCAAAATCATGTTTGGGTCTGACCTTCAGGCTCTAGGCCTGTGTGCTGTGAGCTCTGACTAGGGACTGCTAAGTCCCTATCAGGTAGGGCCGTATCAGTCATCACCCTCTATTGACAGTTGTCTGGAAATTTGGAATTTATCACAGCAGCGTGCCATATGTCACTACTTTGTCCTAGGAATCTCCGCCTTGCTTTGGCAGGGCTCTTCCACTTGCCTTAGTTATTATGCCTGGGCAGGTGCCGTGTCACTTATTTCTGTCTCCCCCATTGTCCAGAGCACAATGTCTTGCCCACCGTGGCTCTGATTTTTTGCTGGCTGAGTTAATGCCATTGCTGCCTTAGAGGTACTGGAGGACTTGAGGTCTTCCAGGGAGTGTAGCTGAGGTGGCTGCTGGGAGGTGATGTGCAGCAACTGGCTTTGAGTAAATACTGGCTGTAGCACCGTGTTAATCTGGTTTCTGCAAATTGCTGAGGAACAGCTCTGGTTTCTGGTGCTTGTAAAAAGAGATTTCTTTTAAACATCTTAGTATTTCAAGATCTTAAACTGTCTTCTCTTTGCCACAAGTCTTTAATACTTTCTGCCAGAATTACATTTATTTTTGGCATATCACCAGCTAAGGAATTTGCAAATGATTTTAACTCCTCCCGCAAGCAAAGAGTGGAAAACAAGCTGTATCTGATGCAGCTTTTCAAATACAACATCAGGACCTTAAAAATGAAGGCAGATTCCTTACCTTCTGCTCTGAAGCTTCCTTTCTGGCCGTACTATATCTGCTGGAAGGGTCACAGAATGTTGGAGCGTATGTAAGTTAATTTGTAACCTAAATGAATTTGGTATAAATCCTTCAATTTGGAGTATTGACATTGTCTTTTACAAACACATTTTTATGCAAAATAAGGAAGCTTTGATTGAGACACTTGGACGTAATTTACTAAGTAGGAGGTTCCATGACAGCAGGGCTCTGGTGCTGGGCTGTAGCCCCCTTTGAGGTCCCTACCTGGCACACAGTAGGTGCACAGTGACTTTGCTCAAAGAGATTCCCTATTATTGAATAGGGAATCTCCAGAAGTAAGCTAAATCTCTAAAAGTATTGCTAAGAATGTCTGGATAAAGCGGCTTACAACAGCTCCCTTTCAAAAAATGCCTGATGACTCAAACACGATATAGTAATACTGGCACTTCCTTCCAGCAAAAAACAAACAGAAAGAACCCATCAGCAAGCAAGGAAAAAGACAACCAAATGTCAAGAATGTCAAAAAATGGTCAGAGAAGAAAAAAATTTTGCTCAGGTGTGCCAGGCTACTCCTGCAAATGGTCCTGGTGAATCCGCAAACTCCAGCAACTGAGGGCGCCTGGGTGGCTCAGTTGGTTAAGCGACTGCCTTTGGCTCAGGTCATGATCGTGGAGTCCCAGGATCGAGTCCCGCATTGGACTCCCTGCTCAGCAGTGAGTCTGCTTCTCCCTCGGACCCTACCCCCTCTCATGCTCTCTCTCTCTATCTCATTCTCTCTCTCAAATAAATAAAATCTTAAAAAAAAAAAAAAAAATCCAGCAACTGACTCGCAAGCGGAACAGACTGGTCCGGGGACGGGGCATATCCTTATCCTTCCCCGGTTACTGCAGCGGGGAGTGGAAGAGGCTGCTGGGAATACAGGGGAGGGGGCTTCTGAACCAGCAGCACTGATTCTCTGATGGATATGGGGGTCCCACACTAAACCAGAGAAAGGCTCCAAAGCCCAAGGTGACCTCCGTGGGTCATGAAATGCACTTCCTAGTGAGGGGAAGAGAAACATGTTGAAAATCTCAGTCAAGAGACCAGAGACTAGGTATTCTAGGAAAGGTAGTTCCAGCTGAGCTTTCCCTGCCTTCCCTCTGGCTGTCAGGCCACACAACATTGAATAGAACACAAAATAGGACTTCCAAACGGGGCTCAGAGAAGAAAAATAGGGGAATTTATTCACATGATAACATGAAGTTGCCCACATTACACAAGAACACAAGAAATGACACATGACTTTATACCCACTAGGATGACTATAATCAAAAAGACAATCAGGGTGCCTGGGTGGCTCAGTTGGATCAGTATCTGCCTTTGGCTCAGGTCATGATCTCAGGGTCCTGGGATCGAGCCCCATGTCAGGCTCCCTGCTCAGCGGGGAGTCTGCTTCTCCCTCTGCCTGCCTCTCACCCTGTTTGTGCACTTGGACTCGCTCTCTCTTTCTCTCTCTCTGTGTCAAATAAAATCTTTTTTTTAAAAAAAGACAATGATAGGTATTGGTGAGGAGGTGGAGAAATTGGAACCCTCTTACACTGCTGATGGGAATGTAAAATGATCGCAGCCACTTTGGAAAACAGTTGAGAAGATCTTAAATTTTTAAAACATTTACCATGTGACTCAGCAGTTCTCCTGGATATATATGCCCAAGAAAAATGAAAACATGTGCCCATACAAAAACTTGTTCATAGCAGCATTATTTTTAATAGTCAAAAAGTGGAAACAACCCAAGTATCCATCAACTGAAGAATAATGCATACACAAATGTGGTATATCCATATTAGTCATAAAATATGGATAAAATAAAATATGGAATATTAGTCATAAAAAGAATGAAGTGCTGATACATGCTATAACATGGATAAACCTCAAAAACACTGTGCTAGTGAAAAAAGCAGGTGAACTTTATGATATACAAATTATATCTCAAGAAAACTGTTTTAAAAAAGGAATGGCAACCTCCTGGAGTGTATATCCGGGATGTGAATTTGCCTCCCATAGCTGCCTTCACTGCTTCACACAAAATTGCTTCTGATCGAAGAACTCTTTTCACAGCAAAAGAAAAGAGGCAGCCAGTGTGAGTTTATCCTGAGAAAGGGAAAAATGTAGTAACCAGTACTACATCTAGTAGCCAGGCTGTGATTTTAACCTCTAGATGTTAAAAAAACAAAACAAACAAACAAAACAAAATACAAGCAACACTCCACCACTTTTTTCTAGTTTCTTAAGGTAGAAGTTTGGGCCATTGATAGAAGACATTTCTCATTTCCTAAAAGAAGTATTTAATGGTGTGAATTTCCCCCTAAACTTTAGGTACATCTC